TGATTCCTGTGTACTCCATCTGGTGAAGTCCACATGTATAGCCAATGCATGTGTTGTTGAGAAAAGGTGTATGTAACGAGTAAGTCATCGGTCTTGCAAAATTCTATCATGCGATTTCCAGTGTTATTTCTAACACTAAGGCTGTATTTTTCAACTACCAGTGAAGTCTTTGTTTCCAACTTTTGCATTCCAATCATCAGTGATAATCAATACATCTTGGTTGCATGTTCCGTCAATTTCATACTGCAGGGGTTGGTAAAAATCTTCAACTTCCTCATCTTTGGCTTTGGTGGTTGGTGTGTAAATTTGAGTAAAAGTAGTATTAACTGGTCTTCCTTGTATGTGTATGGATATTATCCTATCACTGATAGCAATGTACTTCAGGATAGATCCTGAAACATTCTTTATGATTCAATTTGTCATTCCTGGCATGGTAGATCATATGGTTATCTGATTCAAAATGGCAAATCCAGTCCATTGCCACTCACTAATGCCTAGGATATCGATCTTTATGTGTTCCATTTCATTTTCAACAACTTCCAATTTTCTTAGATTCATACTTCCTACATTCCATGTTCCGATTATCAGTGGATGTTTGCAGCTGTTTCCTCTCATTTTGAGTCATGCCACATCAGCCAATGGAGGTCCTTAAAGCTTTACTCTATCCACATCATTAAAGTCAGCTCTACTCTGAGGAGGCAGCTATTCCTCAGTCCTATCTTTTTTTTTTTCCTTTAATTTTTCTTAAAAAATTCTTTTTCTTAAAAATGTATCTTAATTTATTTTCTTTCTTTCTTTATTTTTAATTGTGCTTTTGGTGCAAATTTATAAAGCAGAATTTTACAGTCAATAGTTTGTGTACATATGGTTTCACTTCGCAATTACCATCCCCAAGCCTAATCCACTCTCCTCCTCCCACTTCCCAGTGGCCCCCTCATCCCTGTGCCCTCTTAGTCATGCACTGTCATCTGTCCAGCTTTTCTTCCCATGTGAATGCTGCTGCTCTGGTGCCCCAAGGCCGATTGCTCCAATGAGCGTATCTTCGTAGAGTAAGTGGGTGCATTGTCCTGGGTTGGATGTCCTGCAAGTAAGTCTTAACTATTGTTGGGCTGAGAGCCAGCCCTTGGGAGTGAGTTTTATCCCAGGCCTGAAGTGTATCCCAGGGCCATAGAATTGGGGGTTCCACCAGACTCCTACTGAACAGTTATCCTGGTCATTATTGTGTTTTTGAGTTTTGTTCTACATTTTCCCTTCCACTCCATCCAGGATCTCCAGTTTTGATACCTTCCTGAGTGGCTGGCATTGGTAGCTAGGCACCATTGTATCTTGGGCTGATTGTTTCCAAATGCCCTTTGGTTTTCTTCACTCATTCTTCCCTTCAGATGAGAGGAGAGAACATTAGCTGCATCTTAGATGGCCACTTGAAAGCTACCCCAGTCACTACTCACGAGAGTGGGTTGTGGAACAAGATTTTTATGTATTATGTTGTGGCAATTGAGTCTGGTGCTCCCCAACCCATTCGTATCTTGAGTGCCTTCCAACCTGAGGGGCTCACTTCTGGCACTCATCAGACATTGTTTAACGGCTATTCAAAAAGTTTCTAGTAATATATCAGACTGTGTTTCACTGTTATTCAAAAGGTTTTCACTGCCCAATTCTTTGAGAAGTGGATGGTCTCTTCCTTCTTCTGAGTTTATCTTATTCTGGAAGCTCTGTAGAAACCTGTCCAGCACAGGTAACCCTGCTGGCATTTGACACACTGGTGGCATAGCCTCCAGCCTCATAACAACATGCAAGCCACCACAGTACAACAAACTGACAGACAACTTTGTCCCCCTTAGCTGTTCTAAACTGCTCTGCTCACTTCCTGGTCTCCCTCAGCTATTCCAAACCCTGCCAGCTCATCTCCTGGTCTCCCTCAGCTGTTCTAATCCGCCACCGGCTCGCTTCCTGGTCTCCCTCAGCTGTTCCAAACTGCCGCCTACCTCTTTAGGACATTAAAATCTAATGTGTATAAATGAGATAGGTTTTCTTTGTGTGTGCTTCTTTGGATTTTGAAATCTGAGACTTAAACACATGCAGTTCAATTTATTTTTGAATCTTTTCAAAGTAAAGAATATTTCTTATATAAAGATGTTTATTATTGAAATGCTATTCACTTTGTATAGGTATAGAAATAAACAAATCAGAACACTCAGTTCAAATGCTTCAATGCAGTTTCCTGGATTGCTTAATCAGAATAATCCAAAATGCAATGATCTTTTTTAAGTGCTCTGGTTACTGTACTTTCCAAAGATCTCAGAAACAAACACACAACAAAACAGGTAAGACAAATGGCTCTACCAAGTGCACACATATGACTTCAAAAACATAAAAACTCTGATACAAAACAGTATTTTGGCCTATGGTCATCTTACTGGCCAGGTTATCTGAGTCAAAATTAAGCACATTACAATTTTCACATCATAAAAACTTCAAAGGGATTAGAGGAAGGGAAAGGAAACAAGGATATAGATAGATACCAGGGTGGCAGGTAAAAAAATAAAAATAGTTAATACAACAGAAAGATGTGGTTGTACTCCAATTTGTTTCCTGTGCGTCTATCAAATCATAGTATCAAATATGAACACATATAAATAAAACATATAGGGTGTTATTTAATAAAAAATACAGGACAAAGATATATATGAATATATATAATTATGGTAACTTTTCCAAGAACATACTAACGTGGATAAATTAAACTTTACCCTGCATTTTATACTACATTATTCAAGTCTGCATTCCATTTACTCAAGATTTTGAAGGAAAAGGAAATTCAAGTACAGACAGAGGTAACCAACATGGAAAATCAACCTCATACTTTTAAGTTGATGGACATAAAAATAAAAAAAGCAAACTCAGACTAGCTCTTGGAATATATGTTTAAGCTGTACTTAGATACAGGAAATCTTTGCTGTTCTCTCAGGTCCCTAAAAGGCTTTCTTTTTTGTAAAAGGACAGAAGTAGCAGAAAGGAAAGAGAACAGAGAACAGAGAAGTGGGATACAAGGCCTTTCTCAAACTCCCTTAGTAAGCAGTGGCTTGATGTATGCAAAGCTGTCTGAAAAGTCTATAGGCAAATCATAGAATCAAGAATTGTTTCTTTGATCAGTATGAGAGGACAAGTGGAAACAAGGCAGCTTAGATACCTCAAAACTGTGTCCTCAGTACAGAATTATATTAAAATATGTCAACTATTCTTGACCAACAAGAATAAAATGGAAATCATTAAGATATCATCCTGCCTTCACTGAGAACAGGAAGAGAACATTGTGCAATTTCCTATAATTGAGTGTCTTACCTAGCGATGCATAGGAACCTGGATTCAGGGCACCTGCACCTAAGCGTCCACTTCTCACAGACTGCCCGGCAGCATGATGCGCCTTGGCACCAGCAGCAGCATTAACATCAATGTCACTTCGTGAACGCTGCAGGCTTCCTGGAAGTGAATTGGCTTTGCTGCTGCTGGCCGACACTATGGAAGACAAAGCAAAGGTAACCTGTATTATTTAAATCACTGCCAAAAGCAAAAACAAAAACAAAAACAAAACAAACCCACTGCTGTCTAGTTTCCAACTCACAGTGACCGTACAGGATAGAGTTGAACTGCCCTATAGGATTTCCAAGGCTGTACATCTTTATGAAAGCAAACTGCCACATCTTTCTCCCACAGAGTGGTTATTGGGTTCAAACCACCAATCTTCTGGTTAGCAGCTGAGTGCTTAATGACTGTGCCACCAGGGCTCCTTTAAATTACTGCAAACAGCATGAAAATTATATAAACTTGCAACCATCATGAGCTAAGCCATGATGACAAATGGTCAACAAGATGGCAGTGGCACAATGGATAAATACTATAAAGTACTTTAAAGTCAGTTTCAATCCTGGCATAACTAAAACTTCTAAGGGCAATTTTCTCAGTGGGATAAAGTGAGGAAAAATGACCTTACTTGGACTGCAAAATTCATAGGACTATTTTGGAGATGATGATACTTATTATGATTTAGGAAAATAAAGTATTGTATATGATAAATAGATAGCAGTAGTTTTACTATCAGAAAAATATGAGAACTGGAATGGGAATAGGGATACTCAGATTTATTGCAGGCTCTGCCACTCTTGGAATGGGCAAAATGTCATTAAATCTTGGTCGTTAGCTTTTCAGTTTTAGAAGTGAGGAATCTTTTAACAGTGAGTCCCCACCTACCACCCTTTACTGCTGAGTCAATTCCAACACGTAGTGATCATACAGGCCATATAGGACAGAGTAGAACTGACCCATAGGGCTTCCAAGGGGGTAAATCTTTATGAAAGCAGACTGCCACATCTTTCTTCCATGGAGTGGCTGGTGGGTTCAAACCACCAACCTTTTGGTTAGCAGCTAAGTGTTTCACCATTGCATCACCAAAACTCCTCAACTGGAGTCATGTCCCATTAAAAGGTTGTAAAATCACTTGACCAATATTTTGTACAAAATGGAATAGAATTAAAAAAAGAGAACATCACAAGAATGGTAAGTACTGTTTCAATGAACTTTTGCATATGGTATATATCTACACTATATACACATATACAGGGTTACTATATAAAATGATTTTTTTCACTGTGAGTCACATAAAAGCTATTTAAAAGTTACTTCCTTAGAGATAAAATACACTATAATTCTTAAAAAAGCAATTACCTCTTCCAGCCACAGTTGATGGATTTGCTGTAGACCACTTGGAAGAAAAAGGACGACTGTGAAGTTAAAAAAAAAAAAAAATGCTTTTAGTTAAGAAGACTTTAATTTACCACCTTTTTGATAATAATGAAGTACCACTAGTTAAATGAGTTTTCTGAAGAAAATGAAAGTTAAAGACAGAAGTTCCTGAAGTATTTCTAATTTCAACTTTCATTTTATAGATCATTATAGAACAGTTGTTCTCAAATATGCTGCCGTAGATCAATGGTATCTCAACACACTTAGAAACAAAAATGAAATAACTGGCCATTATTGTACGCTCTACAGAGCAAGGGACAGGGTTACTTTTGTTTACTCTGATGCTCAGCACACATCACACTGCCCAACACAGAGGACTCAGTAATCACACCTCAACCACTGTGACATTTAACTCAGAAGGGGAGAGGCAAGGTTATTACTAGCACATGTAAGCATAACTACAGCCTCTTTCACCTAAGCCATAATGGTTGTGGTCACTGGTAATTCATGCAGTTATCACATAGCTAAGTTGCTACATACAGAAGTGCTATGACTGTTACTCCCTGGGGCAACAGAAAAAAAGGCTAAGAGCCATTGCTTAGGACAACATGGATAATTAGAGAGGGATGGCAGTAAATTAAGTATCTCAAAAAACACACCATATCTTTACATTGCTTATTTATCTTTAATTATGGTCGTAGTTCACAGACAACTAATACATTAAAATACTTATGTAATAGGAATCTGGAAAGCACATCCATAAATTTTAAAGGAATGAGGGAGGGAGGCAAAAGCCCACAAAAGATTTAAGCCAGAAAAATATTGTTTAATTTATATTATCAAATATTAAACTTGGTAGTTGGTTACTAAACCCAGTGTTATATTATTTTTATATCTGTTCCCTAAAACTGTTACCCTCTTAATATGGAGGCAGACTACATCAAGGTTCATAAAAGTTAAAGTTGTTAATCCACCCAGTGGTAAATGCGGAAGATAGTCTGCGAAACTACTTCTATTAAGATCTGTCGTTGTTGTTTGGTGCTGTCAAGTCGTTTCCGACTCATAGCGATCCTATGCACAGCAGAACAAAATACTGCCCAGTCCCACACCAGCTCCACGGTCCTTGATGTACTTGAGCCTATCACCACAGCCACTGTGTCAATCCATCTTGTTGAGGGCCTTCCCCTCCTTCATTGACCATCCATCTTCTCCAGGGAATAGTCTCTTCTGACAACATGACCAAACTAGGTGAGATGAAGTCTGGCCATTCTTGTCTCTGAGGAGCATTCCACCTGCACTTCCTCCAGAACAGATTTGTTAGTTCTTTTAGCAGTCCATGTTATTTCAGCATTCTTTGCCAGCACCACAACTCAAAAACATCAACTTTTCTCTGGTCTTCCTTATTCACTGTCCAGTTCTCACATGCATGAGGTGACTGAAAATACCATGGCTTGTGTCAGGCACACCTTAGTCCTCCAGGAGATATGTTGGCTCTTCAGCACTTGAAAGGTCCTTTGCAGCAGATTTGCCCAGTGCTATATGTAGTCTGATGTCCTGACTGCTGCTTCCAGTGGTGTCAATTTTAGAACCAAGCGATGTGAAGTCTTTGACAACTTCAATCTTTCCTCCATTTATCGCGATGCTGCTTATAGGTTCAGTTGTGAGGATTTTTGTTTTCTTCATATTGAGATGTAATCCATACTGCAGACTGTATTCTTTAATCTTCATCAGTAAGTGCTTTAAGTCATCCTCACTTTCAGCAAGTATTGCAGGTTGTTAACGAATCTTCCTCTAATCCTGATGCCATGCTCCTCTTCATGTCGAGCTTCTCGGATTATTTGTTCAGCACACAGATTAAATAAGTATGGTGAAAAGATACAACCTGGATGCACTCCATTCTTGATTTTAAAAATGCAGTGCCCCCTTGTTCTGTTCGAACAACAGCCTCCTGGTCTATGTATAGCTTCCTCATGAGTAAAATTACGTGTTCTGGAATCCCCATTCTTCTCAATGTTACCCATAATTTGTTATGATCCATACAATCAAATACCTTTGCATAGTCAATAAAACATAAGTAAACATCTTTCTAGTATTCTTTGCTTTGAGCCAAGATCCATCTGACATCAGCAATGATATCCCTCGTTCTGCATCCTCTTCTGAATCCGGCTTGCATTTCTGGAAGTTCTCTGTCAATATATTGCAGTAATTATTTTTGAATAATCTTCAGTAAGATTTTATTTGCATGCAATATTAATGCTATTTTTCAATAATTTCCACAATCTGTTGGATCACCTTTCTTTGTACTGGGTACAAATATGGATTTCTTCTAGTCAGTTGGCAAGGTAGCTATCTTCCAAATCTCTTGGCATAACCGAGTGAGTGACTTCAGCATGGCATCCATTTGTTGAAACATCTCAATGGGTATTCTGTCAATTCCTGGAGCCTTGTTCTTTGCCAATTCCTTCAGTGCAGCTTCGACATCCACCTTCAATACCATGGGTTTGTGATCATATGCCACCTCCAGAAATGGATGAAAACTGAGTAGGTCTTTTTGGTACAATGACTCTGTGTATTCCTTCCATCTTCTTTTGATGCTTCCTTCGCCATTCAGTATTTTGCCCATACAATCTTTCAATATTGCAACTCGAGGCTTAAACTTTTTCCTCAGTTCCTTCAGCTTGAGAAATGCTGAGCATGTTCTTCCCTTTCAATTTCCAGTATTGTAATTGGTCTGCACATTTCATTATAGTAATTGGCTTTGTCTGCTCGAGCTGCTCTTTGAAATCTTCTGTTCAGCTCTTTTATCTTGTCATTTCTTCCATTTGCTTTAGCTACTATCAAGGGCAATTTTCAGAGTCTCTTCTGACACTCATTTTGGTTTTTTCTTTCTTTCTCATCTTTTTAATGATCTTTTGCTTTCTTCATGGATGATGCTCTTGATGTCATTCCATAGTTATTCTGGTTTTCAGTAACTGGTGTTCAATGCATCAAATCTACTCTTTAGATGGTCTCCAAATTCAGGAGAGATATATTCAAGGTCACATTTTGGCTCTCATCATTTTTTTTTAATTGTCTTCAATTTCAAGTTGAATTTGCAGATGAGCAGTTGATGGTCTATTCCACAATCAACTCTTGGTCCTTGTTTTGGCTAAAAATATTGAGCTTTTCCATTGTCTCTTGCCACAGATGCAGTCTATCAGATTCCTGTGTACTTCATCTGGTAATGTTCATGTGTACAGATGCCATGTGTATTGTTGAAAAAGGTATTTGCAATGAATAAGTCGTTGGTCTTGCAAAATTCTATCACACGGTCTCCAGCATTATTTCTGTCACCAAGGTCAAATTCTCTAACTACTGGTGAGTCTTCTTTGTTTCCAACTTTTGCATTTCAGTCATCAGTGATAATTAACACATCTTGATTGCGTGTTCAGTAAATTTCAGACTGCAGGAGTTCATAGAAATCTTTAATTTTCTCATCTTTGGCATTGGTGGTTGGTACGTAAATTTGAATAATCGTAGTATTAACTGGTGGTCTTCCTTGTAGGCGTATGGATATTATCCTATCACTGACAGTACTGTACTTCAGGGCAGATCTTGAAGCATCCTTTGTGATAACAAATGCCACGCCATTCCTCTTCAAACTGTCATTCCCAGCATAGTAGATCATATAGTCATCTGATTCAAAATGGCCAAAACTGGTCCATTTCAGTTCACTAATACCTAGGACATCAATCTTTATGATTCCATTTCACTTTTGACAACTTCCAATTTTCCTAGATTCATACTTCATACATTCCATGTTCTGATTATTAATGGATGTTTGCAGCTGTTTCTTCTCAAATTGAGTCGTGCCACATCAGCAAATGGAGGTCCTGAAATCATTACTTTATCCATACCATTAAGGTTGGTTCTACTTTGATGATGCAGTTTTCTTCCCACTTTCATTTTGAGTGCCTTCCAACCTGAGGGGCTAGTCTTTCTGTACTGTATCGGACAACATTTCAGGGCTATTCATAAATTTCCCAGTGAAGTATCAGACAGTGCTTCTCTGCTATTCATAAGGTTTGCCCAGGCCAATTCTTTGAGAAGTGGATGGCCTTCTTCCTAGTCTGTCTCAGTCTGTAAGCTTCATTGAAACCTGTGCACCATGTGCAACCCTGCTGGCATGTGAGCCACCGGTGGCACAGCCATGAGCCTCACAGCAACACACAAGCCACCACAATGGCTATTAAGATTACAGCCAAGAAAAGCTATGGACGAGTTCTATTCTGTAAAATATGGAATTTCCATGAGGTAGAACTGACTCAACAAGAATTGACTAACAATAGTATGTTTAAAGATGATATACTCAAGTAAAATAACTTATCTTGTTTAGATCCTTGCCACTCAAGGTGTAAGGACAAACAGCTCTGACATCAGCTAGAAGCTTATAAAAAGTGAAAAATCTCAAGACCCGCCCCAACCTAGTGAATTAAAATATGCATTTTAACGAGACCTTCAGGTGATTTAGGTGTACTTCAAAAGTTTGAGAATACTAAAATAAAAATGAAGAGAAAAAGCAACAAAAGAGCTCATGAGAAGTGAGGTGATTACTACACATTTAAACTGAAGTTTAGATAAGTAGTTATTCTGATAATGATTATTTTTTGAAATCAGATCATATCTGCTTTTATCAAAAAGTTTATGTCACTGAGGTTAAACACAGATGCTCTTCTAAAGCTAGAGGCACAAATCATAGGTCTTTTGAAGGGCTTCCAAGTGAACCAACTTAGTGGAAATGCTTTGTTTAGAATAATTTTAAAGCTCTAAAACCATTATTCACTTATCCACAATGAATGTAATACCACCTAAAGACTAGTTGAAACAGGCCAGAAACAACTGGCTTCAAAATTTTTTCTTCCCTATTTTTTTTTTTTTTAAATATCACAAAAGTGTAGGAGAAATGAAATGAAAACAGTACAAAATACGTGAAAAATCATGTCTACCTTCATATAACATTCTCTAAAGAGGCAACCATTATTACTAATCTCTTGTATATCCTCTTCTAGAAATATTCTATGCTTGTATGTGTCAGTGTATGACTTCTATGTACTCCTTTTTTTTTTTTACACAAACGGTAGCTTCTTATACATATTACTACTGCACGAAATACATTTTTTTCTCTCTTTTTGTATGTGTGACTTGGGTGAAAGTTTACATACCAAATTGGTTTTCCATTCAAGAATTCATACACTTTTTTTTTTTTTTAAATTGTGATTTGGGTGAAAGTTTACAGAGCAAATTCACTTTCCATACAGCAGCTCACATACACTTTGTCTCATGACATTAACTACAATTTCCCACAATGCAACAACTCCCCTCCACTTCCTCTCCATAGTTACTCTTCCCTGTGTCCTTCCCTCCATGCACTCCTGTCCGCCCCCCAGCTGCCTCCCTGTGCATACACAGCCCTTCTATTCTCCCATGACTGTTCTCTCCAAGGAGTGTATCTACCTAATTTAAATGTTCAGCTCATATGCCTGTCTTTCATTGGGCGGGAAGCCACAGGAGTGGGTTCAATTCCAGACCTGAAGGCAGCTAGTGGCTATCGTCTCAGTGGTTATAGCAGGCTCTATCAGACCAGCAAACCTGGCCCCCCCCCTTTTTTTTAATGATTTTGAGTTTTGTTCACATTGTTCTCCCACTCTATCCAGGATATCCTACATAGATCCCTCTTCAAGTGGTTGACAGTGATAACTGGGGACCATCTAGTTTTTCTGGTCTCATAGTCGTATAGGCTGAGGATCTCATGGTCATACACCTTTTGTTTTGTAACATTCATTGCAATCCCTGCAATACAACAGCACTCTTCCCACTTCCTCCTCCTTTCCTATCACTTTCAAGCCTTCTGAGCTTCATCCCTGGGTAAATGCTGCCCTTTTGATCTCATACAGTTGATTGTCCTAGTGAGTGCATACCTCCCTTACATTATTGTTTACCTTATGGGCCTGACTATTGTTTGATTGAAACTCATGAGGTTTCACTCACGAGGGGAGTTCAGTTCCAGGCTTGAAACGTGTCTAAGGGTCATAGGTTCAAGGGTTCTACCAGTCTCTATCAAACCAGGGAATCAGGTCTATTTTTTAATATTGAGTTTTGTTCTACACTTTTCTCTCACTCTATCTAGGACCTCCTATTGTGATTCCTTTCAGAGTAGTCAGCAATCCAACAAGGTACCATCTAGCACTTCTGGTCTCAGAGTCATAGAGGCTGGGGTTCACATGATCCATTAATCCTCTGGACCATTTCTTTGTGTCTTTGATTTTCTTCCTCTTCTTTGTTCCAGATGGGGAGAGACCAATAGTTGCATCTTAGATGGCTGCTCACAAGCTTTTAAGATCCCAGTCGCTAATCACCAAAGTAGAATGTAGAACATTGTCTTTGTGGACTATGCTATGCCAGTTGACCTTAGTATCCTTGAGACTACAATCCTGAGCTCTCATGCCCAGCAATTCATTCTCTCAAGCTGTTTGGTTATGGCTAAGATATTTTCGTAACTTTGCTCTCTGTATGCTCTACTATATTCATGGATGTATTTGTAGCACATATAAATACTTAAGTTGAAATATCCTGTCAAACATATATATATCCAAGGGTGTAGTCCCATCTGCCTGCCTTCCCACTCTGTGTCTATCTATGTATCCACTCATGTTGTTGTTGCTGTTATGTGCTGTCGAGTTGGCCCCGACTCATAGTGACCCCTCCTTGGGTTGCCGAGGCAGTATCACTACGGAAGTAGATTGTCCAAACTTCCTTCCGAGGAGTGGCTGGTGGGTTTGAACCGCCAGCCTTCTGGTTAGCAGTCAAGTGCCTTAGGCACTATGCTACCAGAGCTCACTCATAGATCATTGTTACTACTGTTATTGCAGGATTATGTCTGTAATGTATTCACCTCTTAACAATCACACCATATTTCTTTTTAGTATTTATATTACATTTTAAATAGTTCCTTCTTCATGGCAATTTATGTAGTGTCTAGTGTTTGCTGTTATAAAAATAATGAAATGATATTCTTTAAAGTGTAGTTAAGATTAGGTTAAGTTTGTTGCTGTAAAAATTCCAGGTCAAGATGTGCGTTTTTTATCCTATTTATTTATTAATTTTTAATGGAAACTTTAATGAGAAATTTCAAACATATACAAAAGTTGATGACAATAGCCCAATGATGTCTAATACTCATATCCATCTATAACATTCATCAATTTGTTGCCAATCTTGTTTCAACTATCTCTCACACACACACACACACACACACACACACTTCTCTTTTCTCACCTCCTCTCTAATTATTTTGAAGTAAACTTTAGCCATAATATTTTTACTTCATCTATTCTCCATTCTTCATCCATTCTAAGTACATATCTTAAAAACACACAAACCACTTTTTAAAAAACAAAACGGCAATATCATTATCATCCTTACAATCTTAACAGTAATTTATGGATGTCAGTAAATATCCAGAGCAGAGATCAAATATCCCAATTACTGCATTTTTTTTTTTTACACTTCATTTGCTCAAATCAAAAGAAAGGCCCACACATTAAATATGCTTGATTTGACTCAGATCATTTGTAATCTCTAGGTCCTACTTCCTCTATTCCTCACCCACACCAATTTATGTGGTGAAGGGACCTGAAGTTTATCCTGTAGAATTTTCTACATTGTGGATTTTGCCAGTTGCATTCAAATATTATCATATAAAAGAGGTAGATTCAGGTATGATTTTGGCAAGACTACTTTTATACACAAACACTCATGCACATATGTTTATATGTATATATATATATTTATGAATGTACACATACACATATATATGCATGTGATTGTTTCAGAACAATAGTACCTGCAAGATGTGAGTGTCTCTTTAAATTTTGTGTATTAGGTGCCTCACCCTCACACCAGCCCTATTATAAGGGAGCTTCTGAGACAACTAGCAATCTCTGTGGGTTCAAACACCCAAAGAGAAGGAAATTACAGAGAGGTAAACTAACATTCTGTGAACTGCTTTTCCCTAGGGAGATGTGCAGATACCCAGAACAGAGCAAAAAGCCATGAAGATGTACAGAGGCCACTGTTAAGAAGTAGAGAAGGTATGAGAGCTTTTGACAATATCATTTGGCTAGAGAAACAAAAAATAGGAATAAGGCTGCCAAGGCAGCAAAGATTTGAGATAGTCACCCTAGTAATGAGAATGGAGTTACAGAAAAGTGAGTCAGATACTAGATAATTTTGCCCCCTTGAGGGATTTGCTGAATTGTTAAACTGTGAAAAAGGGGAGAAAGGTAAGCAGTAGGGATTTTACGTTATACAGGGCTGTGTAAGCACTCTGAAGATGATTTCTGAATCTCTATCACAATGCCCTACAAATTGGCTACTTATTACATACACAATTTTCAGTACATTAAAAAAGTTTACTAATCAGTGCTTCTCAATCTTTTTCACAGACATGAACATATATAGAAACTACACCAGCACATAACCCAACCCTTGACATAACATATCAAAGAAATTAAGTACATATGAATCAACATTTTTTTTAAAGCTTTAGGTAAAAGCAAACAAATACTCAATCAACCAATTTAAGTACTCATGACAACAGCAAACATGCGGAGTAGACCTGCTCCATAGGGTTTTGAAGGCTGTGACCTTTCGAAGCTGACTGCCAAGCCTGTCTTCTTAGGCATCTCTGCAGGGGTTTGAACTGACAACCTTTTGGCTGGTAGTCAAGCGCTAATGCTCATCATGAGTTGTAACAGACTCAATGGTAACAAACAACAACAACAACTTAGGTAAGTTTGGGGAATGGAAAAGGAGGAAAAATCAGTAACGATCATATTCATGAGCCTTACTTGAGACTTTCTTGTGAGCTAGATGAGGACCTGTCTGATTGAGGAAGAGATGCCACACTGCCAGAACTCTTTAAGTAAGTTTGAAGACTCTTCTGGTAAGATGGCTCAAGGGAATTATACAATGTTTCAGCTTCTCCAGGAAAGTGATTTCTAAGGCCCATATATGTTCTGTATATACAAACAAACAAAAAAGAAAAGGACATGATGTGATAGCTTCCATGATTAGACATTAACAGCAAGAATAATAAAGAGGAACCCACAGGTTTTTAATACCATTACTATATGTGATATAGATAAATTTAATAAGATTTAGTGGAATGGCAAGAGACTTCAGTTCAAAACTTGGCTGTGCTGCTTGTGGTTTATGTCGCCTTGAGTCAATGGCACAATCTCCAAGCCTTGGCTGCCATCTAGGCAGGTAACACCATCTTTGCAGAATCATTTTAAGGATTAGAAAATAATATATACCAAGTGCCTCACAGAATGTTAGGTGCACATATTCAATAAATGACAATTTTTTTTATTCAGAATTAAAGTGAGTAAGTTTGAAAGAATAGGAATAACGATGAGTACAAAAACAGCAATTTAAACGTCTAGTGCTGAGTTAATGGAGAAAAAACAACCTCAAGTTTCTTAACGAGTTAGTAAAGTAGAATACTTGGGACACTTCTGACACTTTTATTCTCTCAATATAATTCATTTCAGAGAGAAGACAAAAGAACATTTAAAATATCATAAAAATATACTGTAAACTTACTTTCTTGCCTCCACTCTGGCTTCAGCATCAGCATCATGAATTCCCTTCTTAATTGTTTCAACTAAGACAGCTGCATGTCTATAAAATAAATACAACATTAGATTCATGTGTAAAAGTGTGTATTTCACACAAATGATACTACCTATATGCTAACATCGGGAGCTCTGGTGACATAGTGCCTAAGGCATTTGACTTCTAACCAGAAGGCTGGTGGTTCAAACCCACCGGCCACTCCTTGGAAGGAAGAATGGGCAATCTATTTCCGTAGTGATACTGCCTTGGAAACCCAAGGAGGGGTCGCCATGAATCGAATCGCCTCAAAGGCAGTAAGTTTAGTATTTTTTTAATATGTTAATATTAATCACAAAAGGGCAAGGGAAGCAAAAATATTAGTTAGTACATTATAATAAATCTAAGACAGCAGGATTGTTGTAAGAATCTTCCCTATATATTCCATTCATTCATGGTTTCCTTCAAATAATTCACTCATTATAAACCTGAAAACAATCATTTTTATAAGGAAAACAGATAGTATAATAAAACTATAGTACCCAAACTTCTCATCTAAAAAATAAAACAAAACCTTTCTATCTGGACCCTCACTAACCAACCTACACACTGTAGAAAACAATTTGCTAAAGTATATCAGTCCTAATCTGACCAAATTGAATAGAAGCTTCCACCAAAGAATTTAAAGAAAACTTGGAATCATGTCATGCCTACATTAAATAACAAATTCTATATTTAAAAAATAGGCTTGATATATGATTTAAGGATTTCCATGAAAATGGAAAATCAGCAAATGTATTCAATAAAAATGCAGATATGTCCAAACATCAAAGTTGAAACTAATGAGAAATATAGTCACATAACTAGTCAGTGACCAGCCGCTTGTCCACCTCACAGCTACATTAAACACTGCCCAGTATATACTTTCTCAGTAACATCTGATGGCTGTTAAGGAGAAATCTTCCAACAAAGTTTCTTATTTCTTTCCTCTCAAAGGACTCCCCCTTCCTTCTATATTAAATCATTCATTACTTAATTAATAAGAAACTATCTCACATGGCTAGAGGCATGTTTTTAAAATTTGTGTCCAATTTGACCTGTAGTATTTTACATGTCCTATTCTAACTTAAGAGAGCCTTATCTACCCCACAAAGAAAGAAGAAAAGCATACTCTTCATAGCTGAATGTAAGAGGAGTATAACACTACAGTTTAAAAGGAGAATCAATAAAAGTAACTTTTAAAGTAACATGAGAAGTAAAGTAAAACTAATACCATCAACTTCTATAACTAGTGGTAATGGGGGAGGATAAGAGAGGAGGAGGGAAGAACAGTCCATACCTTTCCAACGAATGAGTTTGCCACTCTTGTAACAACAAATCTAAAAACTCAAATGAACGTCTGAAAAATATAAATTTAATTATAATTAAATGTTGTGTGAATAACTGAATTAATACTTACTTTTATAGTAACTGCACTCTGCCCCCTGAATTCAAGTATGAGTTTACAGAATATTTTGGAATCTTAATTGTTGAATACTTCCTAACTTACTAACTCTACCAATTCTTATGCTGAATAGTTCAGAAATAGATTTTAAGAATTCCTCATAGTTTTGACTTAAAATGTCTGTCAACTACAAAACATAATGAATTTCACTTATTAATTTAGACATTGAAGATACACCAATGGTGACCAAGAAAAGACACATCAACCAGATCTTGCATTCTACATTTCCATTGTAGACACATGTAATTTTTTAGTAAATATTTATACATTTTCTCCCAAGGCCTATAGTTATCAACTTTTTCAACTATTTTATTCTTGAGCACCTCTTCTTCCCTGGTATCTGATGACACAGCTCTTCCAGTTTTTCTTCCATTACTAACATTTTTTCTCCATCTACCCTTGAAGAAGTACTCACTTGGCTGTTGCTGATTTCAGCCCACTTCTCTTTTATAGTCTTTACTTGAGTAACAACACCTATACCCCTAACTCTGATTATTAGCTGTGATTTTCTTTTGGAACATTTTATTGTGGTTTGGGTGAAAGTTCACAAAGCAAGTTAGTTTCCATTCAACAATGTTTTGTGACATTAGATGCAATCCCCTCAATGTAACAACACTCTTCCCACTTCCTCCCTAGGTTTCCCATTTCCATTTGTCCATCTTTTCTGTCCCTTCTTGCCTTCTGGGGAAGCTCTGGTGGCGTAATGCCTAAGGCACTTGAGTGCTAACCAGAAGGCTGGCAGTTCAAACCCACCAGCCACTCCTCAGAAGGAAGGTTGGGCAATCTACTCCAGCAGTGATATCACCTCGGAAACCCAAGGAGGGGTCGCTATGAGTTGGATCTGCCTTCTGGATGTTGTTTTTGGGCAAATATTGTCCTTTTGGTTGTATACAGTTGATTGTTCTGAGAAGCACATTCCCTGTAGCTGTTATTGTGTACTTTATAGGTCTGTCTATTGTTTGGCTAAAAGTTAATCTCCTGGAGTGTAGTCCTCCAGGCTTGAAGGGTGTCTAAAAACCAGTCTCAGGTAAGTCTGTACTTTATTATGGTTTTAATTTTGTTCTACATTATTCTCTCACTCTGCCCAGGATCTTCTATCATGATCCTGTTGGTTACACTTTTCACATCTAATTCTCCATCTACAGCACTGGGTTTTCATCTTAACTGTTAAGTTGAAGGTCTAACTAGCTCATGGACATCACCACATAGGTAGAGAATGGCAACTCAAATACCAGACACAGAAGAACTGATTATAGTCAATTCTTGTTATTTGCAGTAGTTATGTTCTATAAAATTGTCATGGACACTGAATTAGTGAATACTATAGTAGTTCCTAGGAGAAATACAGAGGTAGGTTCCTGAGAGATTCTGGTTAAAACATTTTCATCAACTAATCAATACATCACACTTTGTTTTATGTGTGTTTCTGTTTACAGATGCCTTATTTGATATATACTGCTGATTCATTAACACTGAAGTCACAGTCAGCGGCACTATCACTTTTGTCTGAACAAACCTTATCTAACACAGTACTTTTCCCATAAGGCATATCACAATGTTCTTATACTTAGAAACAGTAGACAGCATTTCAATACTATACTTGAGGGGTGGTGTGTGCATTTTAAGTAGTAAAATCATCAACAAAAATGTAAAATAAGCTGCACTAAGTAGAGTGTAAAAAGGATACTTGTTCACAGTATAAGAGTTGAAACAAGAAGGCAGAGTGTTGCCTTGTTCAACCTCAGCTGGGACGTCCACATCCAAATGGGAAATTTCAACACCTGAAATATCTCCTAACTTACCTCCTTCAATCAATTATTATCAATGCAGCTCTAGTTCAGACTTTGATTCTATCTTACATGATTTAAAATAATTCCTTGCTTCACTGAACTAACATCTCCCACTGATTCTTCATATCTGGAACAAAACCTAGGCTAGATGATGTTACCTTCTCACCAAAACTATAAAATTGTCAAATACTATCACAAACTAAGAATAACGTCAAAATTTCTCTTTATGACATTCAAAACCCTCTGCGTTCTGACCTCAATCTATCAGCCTCCTTTCCCACTGAAATCTTCCATGTAGCAGCATATGCTTTGGCCTCAGGGGGCCTACCTGATGGCTCTGCAGCATGCAGAATAGCTTTTCATCTCCACTTAGGCTGTATCCCACTTGCTTCTTCTACAGTTACTGAACTGTTGTTCCCCATTTTCAAGGCAATTTTATGATGTATTTCCTGACTCCCACTTCCCCGTCACATTAAAATTTCTCCAATTATTGTTTTCCTTGACGTAAGAAGACCAATAGTAAATATTTTAGGCTTTGTAGACCACTTATAGTCTGCTTCATATTCTTATCCTTCCCCACTGTTTAAAGTCACCCTTTAAAAATAAAAACAGCTTTTGTTTAGCTTGTGGGCTAAACAAAACCAGACTTAGGGCCAGATTTGACCTGTGGACTGAAGTTTATTGAACCTCAATGTAAGAGATGCTACCTTCTGAACAACTGTCAAAATTCTGAACTACTTAAAGGCTACAATGCTGTCTAATACAGCTTCTTCCTACCATGAAAAGTATTTAAATAAACATTTTTATCGAATGAAGGAAAAAAAAAGGGAAAGAGTTCTTTATAACATCCTTAAATATCAAATAGAGAAATATAATTTTTGTTTTCTCCACTACTGATGGTGATGGTGTTGATGCTAAAAATTGTAGAAATCAGAGACAGAGCATGTGCGTATGAAGGCAAGCATGTGAGTACTGCGATGTGATTGCTTACTTTGCACCAAGTACTATGGCAAGTTTTAGTAATGTGCATCTTATTTAATCCTTACAATTCTATGGGATAAGTATCATTAGCACTATTAATATATAGAGACAATAATATTTAGAGCAGTTAAGTAATTGCCAAGATGGAACAGTCAGTCAGCTGTAGTTATAGGACTCTAGCCCATGCCCAATTCCAGATTCCACGCTCACTGAAACCCAAAGCAATCCAGGGTCCAAAATAAACCAAAGTTTAATGTGATAAAACTAAAATGGGGGGTCACTACAGTTGTTTCATGAATTTTCCCTTACATGAAATAAGATAAAAAATTTATTCTGGTTTCTGTAAAGCAAGAAATGAGTCACAGACAATTATTGCACCAGACTAAAGAATTAGAGACAATGGAACATTATAGCTATAACTAAAAAAAATTTCCTTCCAAAACTTACCTCCTCACAGGAACAGATTTTGATGTGCAATTGCTTGTTATTAAAGGTATGAGTCTGGGTACATGAGTGTGCTGAAAAAGATATTTTAGAAAAGATTGAAAAGTATGGTGAACTTCACAAAGTCCCTTCTATTTGCTTCACAATCAAGAATTTAAGTTAAAACACAACAATAAAAATATAAAACTGATTTTGAAAGAAATTTATGGTAGTCTTGAATAGTTTTCCCAAGTCAAAGTATGAGTTATGAAAATATAGCTTCAAAAGGACAAATGTGGTTGTTATATCAGATAATATTGTAAAATTAATGGTATAACTGCCAGGAACTGCTAGGACAATGTTCAATGAAAAAGACTGGATATGTGTAAGTCATATTCTCTGATGTAGTATATAGTTACTTTTGATAGAAGATGGTAAATTGCAATGTCATCAAAGCAAGTACTCACAGCAAATTTATATCCCTAATTATTGGCAGGCAATGTGCTTTGAAATATGGTCTTAGTTGGATTTTCATTCTGATTGAACCATACCAAAACCAAAATCCCACTACTGAGTCCATTCTGACTCAAAGCGACCCTACAGGACAGAGTAGAAATGCCCCATAGGGTTTCCAAGGCTGTAATCTTTAGAGAAGCAGAGTGCTGCTACATCTTTCTCCTGTGGCGCAGCTGGTGGGTTGAACAACTGACCTTAAGGTTAGTGGCAGAGTGCTTAACCACTGCACTACCAAGGTTCCTTGGTTGAACCACAGCTCTCTAAAATTCCATTAAAGTTCAGTGGATACAATCTTGCGGTTTTAATTAGTCTTTTTTAGGAGCTCTGGTGGTGTAGTACCTAAAGCATTTGCTAACCAGAAGGCTGGCAGTTCAAACCCACCAGCCACTCCTCAGAAGGAAGACTGGGCAATCTACTTCCGTAGTGATACCGCCTCAGAAACCCAAGGAAGGGTTACTATGGGGTGGATCTGACTCGACGGCACTGAGTTTTTTTGTTTCTGAGCCTTCTTTAATTAAGCAAAGACAAAAAAATGTTCATAACAGACAAGTAGAAAACAGTAACTGAAGCATAAATATTTGATGCCTTCAAATCTCCTATTCTGCTGCTGTACTAATGTTATAGGCTATGTTACCTAGGAAGTAGACTCTCAGATGGAGTTTAGCATGTAGGATAGCTATTAAGAAGTGCTCTTGAGATAAACATCTGTAGAGAGGCAGAGAAGGAAGAATGAGTGGATAGAGAAATAAGTGGAACTCTGATGCAGCCCAAAGGTATCTTCTCCCAAAGCCACAGGAAACTCAGAAGCTAAAATGGGCCATCAGAATAGACTCACCTTGGGCCAAGATGGTCAAACCTTTATAACAGTAACGAGTCACTGATGTGCACACTAGGAAGGAGTGACTTTCTAAGCTGAGGTAATCCTTGAAGAAGTTGACAGCTAAAGGTTGTCTACCAACATGCTTCCAACATTGGGGAAAAAGCCTTTCACTGAAGGAGCATAGGTATATCAGTATCCACCACAGCTAACTCAACCAATATAAAAGAGAAGATTTTTTCAGCCATTAGGGAAGGAAATACGTTGTACTAGATTGTATCTAATGAAATTCATGTCTGCCCAGAACCTCAGAATGTAATCTAGTTTGGAAATAGGATCTTTGCAGATGTAATTAATTAAGATGAGGTCACACTAGATTACAGTGGGCCCCAATTCAATGACTGACGTCCTTATAAGAAGAGAAAACAGAGACATAGACATAAAACACTCAGGGGGAACACTCTGTGAAGATGGAAGCAGAGATTGGACTGATGGATCTGTAAGCCAAGAGATGCCAAGGACTGCTGGCAACAACTAGAAGATATGAAAGAGACATGGAAAAGATTCTCCTTCATAGACTTCAGAAGGAACCAACCCTGCTGACAGATTTCTAGCCTCCAGAACTATGAGAGAACAAATTTCTGCTATTTCAAGACAGTATGTGTTAGTTTGTTACAGCAGCCCTAGGAAAACACTACCCACAGTGTTGAAACTGTTCAAAAGGAGAGTAAAACATAACATACAGATCTCTGTTACTTGGCTGTTACACTCAGCAAGGAAGGGCTCTGAATAACTGCTCCCAAACAGCAACCAGAAGAGACCACTTCTTAGTCACTATGGATGTAAAGCCCATGGACACATCCTAGGCACAACAACCTATACAGGAGGTCTCATCTACCAGTCTCCTACTTTCTCTCATAACCACCCCCCCAACACACACATACACACACAAAAGCCCCAGTGCTGGATTAACCACACTCAGCATAATGGTGCAGATGGGAAAGATACTGCCCTAACTATTGCTGTACCATGTTCAGGCGGAGTTGTACCAAAGGATTATGAAAAGCAGCCCTCAAAATTACAGATAAAGCATTAAATCAAACACTAAGTCAGAATAATTTAGATTTTAATGTATTAATACAGTTGATAACTGAATAAAAGCTTTCCTAGAATTAAAAAGAGAACCAGAAATCAAATACAGCAATCTAATGAAGCAGTTCTCTGAAACAAAGGAAACACACACACACTTTGGAAAATTCTGTTGTACAAACTAAAGACACATGTCTTAGAATGTTTACCAAGGATGTGGCTACACAATCTTTTGTTAAAAGATTAAGCCTGTGTGTTAGACTGAGTTCTCTAGAGAAGCAAAACCAGTAAAGCTTATACAGAGAGAAAGAGAAAAAGAAATTTATCTTAGGAAAATGGCTCACACATTTACAGAAGCTGGCAAGTCCTAAGTTCTTGGATCAAACGTCAAGCTGGAGGCTTTTCCCGACTCATGCAGCTACAGGGGCTGCGGAGCTCAAGGTTGGCAGGTAGTGTACTGGCTGTTGACTACAACGAATGATGAATCCAAGATCTTCAGGCTGAATGGTGGATTGTTTGCTCAGACAGTTGTAGCCAGCACAACAGAATCCTGATCCACAGAAGAGTGTCTCTTTTCCCAGGATATCCATAAATATACTGGAAGCAGGCCACACCCTTAGGGAAATTCCCTTTCAATGGACTGGCTGCTCAAAACATATACATCTGATCCCATTATTGGAACAACCCACATCACAATTGCTTAAACCACACAGAACTGTGATCCAACCAAGTGGACTAACAGCTCCAAATATTACAGCCTGTGATTGATAGATCTTGCCTCCCACAATTCTATAGGCAGGAAACATGCCAAAGAGTTACATCTGTGTTGTGTACTAAGAAAAGAAAAGGACTATCCCTGGAGCAGGCTGTAGATCAACAGAACTGTTGAAAGAAGCAGAGCCTTCTCAGTTTTCAAGAGTGGCGCCACAGTCTCCTGGATCTCAAAGGGTAGGGCTACAACTTTCCAGGCTTCAGTCGGCTCTTCACCAACACGATTCTCGAGTGTGGGGCTGCTATTCACAAGTGTTAGGGGGATGAGGCTGTTGCCCAAAGCTGAGGAGGAAGAGCTGTAAGGCCCAAGGGGCAGAAGAATGGGGCCTATGAGGACTGAGTGGATGAAGCTGACACTCAGATGGAGTAGAATGGGGCTACTCAAACATGAGGAACAGAGTTACCATCTCAGAGGACCAGTAAGACAGAGATGAAGCCTAAGGCTGAGGGGCCTGCACTGAGAATCCAGAAAAAGTAGCAAACATCCAAAGTCTAGAGGGCAGGGCCACTGTCTAGATGGTTTTAGAGAACAGAGGAGTATTTTTCAAAACTTGAGAGCTAATGTAATTGTTTTGCTGTGTTTCAGACTTGTTTGACACTCATTATCCCTTCTTTCCCTCCAATTTCTCCCATTTGTAATGGAAATGTCTACCATGTGCTTGTTCCACCACTGTATTTTAGAAGCAGATAACCTGTATTCTAGATTTCTCAGGTTCTGAGATGAAGAAGAATTTTGCCCCAGAATGGAATATGCTTAATATCTTATCCATATTTGATTTAGATGATTCAGAAGATGAAACTTTGAACTTGGAGTTGATTAAAGACAGTTAGGATGATGTGATGATGTGAATGTGTTTTCCATGTGGTAGGGAAATGAGTTTTTCGGGGCCAGAGGGTCAAACATTACGGACTAAACTGTGTCCGTCCCAAAAATGTGTTGTAAACCTTATTAGCTGACTGTGTGTTTATAGTCCCATTTGGGAATGGGTTGTCTTTGTTACATTAAAGAGACAGGATTAGTGTAGGATGTTGTATTAGATATTTAGTGGTATAACAGAAATACCGTAAGTGGATGGCTTTAACAAACAGAAATTTATTCTCTCACAATTTAGGAGACTAGAAGTTCAAATTCAGGGCACCAGCTACAGGGGATGACTTTCTAAACTCCCTGTTGGCTCTGGGGGAAGGTCCTAGTCATCAACGTTTCTTGGCTCTAGGAGTTTCTCAGCACAGGACTCTAAGTCCAAAGGACCTATTCTGCTTCTTCATCTTTCTAAGGTAGTAGTAGATTCCTATGATCTCTGCTCACGTATTCACTCTCTTTTATATCTCAAAAGAAACTGACTCTTTTCTACCGGCAAGATGGCGGACTAGGCAGAAAGACTGCCGAGATCCTCTTCAACAAAGAAAAGGTAAACCAATTAACACAGACACACAAGATAATCCTGGACCCCTGAGCCTTGAAGGGAAGGATATAGAAGTGGACTAAACCCCAACTAGCAGAAGAATTTGCGTGAAAATACCAAAAAAGGA